GCGAAGGGCGGTTGTGAGGTCTGACTGTTTCTGAAGCAGTTTAGCGTTCAGCTTCTCAATAGCAGCTGCTGCGGCAGCATCTGTAGCCGCAGTGGTTGAAGAGACTGCTGCAGCTGAGGAGCAACATACGATTAATAAAATGGTTCTTCCTTTTTTAATTTAAATTTGCAAAATGTTTTCTCAGTTCTCATCTTACTTTCTGGGAGTCTTTCTGACTCCATAGCACTCTGAAAGGCGTCCTCCAGCTCAGCAGCAACCTGGGCTACAACCTCTTCAGCTTTCACCACTGATTCCAGAGAGCGCAGCAGACGGTTTTCCTCTCTGAGGCTGTAATTCTCTGCCGCATATCGAGTCATCTTTGGATGATGTTCAACCTTAAAGGGCAAAAGAATGTGCAAGAAAAAAAAGGTTGTGGTAAACAGTACAGCCTGGAGTTAAGAGGAACTGTGGAGCTGTACGGCTATTATTAGAAGAAATCATTATCCATTACGGATATAACCCCACTCTGCTTTCAGTTTTAATTGCCTTGGATGAATCTGTCTCGGATGTTAAAAGAAATAAAATAATAAATCACCGGAGTTTCTCACAGCAACCTTAAAGGGCTAAAGAATGTTTTGGCATCTGAACTATAGGAGCTCTCCACCACTGTGTATCTACACAATATGAAGACATGAGATGTGGGTAAGACTGTGCTTAAAAGGCTTGACATTTTTTACCTGATCTCTCAAGATTTTAATTTCTTCGTTCAGCTGGTCGATCAAAGCCTGAGAGTCCTTGTCTGAAAGTGAGCTTTGTCCTGCCTTCAGTTTTTTCTCAAGACGAGCGATGTGGTCTTCTCGAAACCTGACAATCATCCGGCTGGAATGGATGAACTTGTCTTTTTGTGTCCAGGCCTCCTCAAGCTGAGCCACCTTCTTAAGCAGCATCTGAGTGTGGTCAAGCATAACTGTAAGTTTCCTTGCATTAAAATTAGTTCCTCACAACAAAGGACTTTCCCAAAATAATTCACAATGCAAAGCAACATTCCCCCTACCGTCTTCTCCTCATCCTGCCTCCTCCACAGACGAACAGCAGACATAAACTTTGCTTTATATGAGATGTTGTGTTGGATTTCAGTCGTTGGGCCTGGAAAGAAAAGCCATTTTATATTTGTTTTAAGAAATAACACTTATATCTTAGGACTCCATGCTCCACTCAAGCATAGGTTTGTAACTTTGGCGTGTGTAAATAGTTTAAACAGGATGTTACGTGGGTGACAGTCAGTATGTGTTTGATTTGCATGCGGTTACCCATAGAGAGTTCAGCTCCTCCTAGTGGTACATCTCTCCCACAGTCCAGTCCCTGAGCTGTCAGTGCCTGTGCAAGCTGCTCTTTCAGCTTCTTCACTTCAGCCTGCAACTGTCTCACATTTCCCTGTGTGTCCTCATTGATGACAGCCTGGCAAAACAGAAAAAACAGGATGAAATAACAGTGTCTAAATATAGAATCAGTAGAATCATGTTAATCCTGGTCAGTTTTAATACTCTATATGGTTTTGCTGAATGACAACTACCTTATTTTTGATCAATTTTGCCCTCTGGGCAAACTGCAAAGTTGACAATGTTTCTCCAAAACACTTGGACCCAGGGTGAACATTTGCTATGATGTAAGTCTTTGCATTTCCTCCAAGAGAGTCCTGAAATACCAAACACAATGAAATGGTGAAAGTGTGTGCCACTGTGTCTGAAAATATTACAGTGCTATATTGTCAATGACATTTAGTTGTATAATTTCCACCATGACATCAAGAATGTATTTTGCATCACTTACCCTGAGCAAGAAAGTGAGCTTAGAATCCCTGTAGCAGATGTGGCGATTCTTCCCATTGGACACATCCACCAAAGCCATGATGACCTGGCCAAGGCACATGAGCGAGCGATTGATACTGCTGGCCTCCTGAAAGATAAACAGAGTAGACAGCTCGACAGTTAGAGACAAAAAAATACATTTAAAAAAATCACAAATGTAGTAGAGCAGTGTGAAAGCTTTCAGGCACCAAGCTTTACCTTGAGTCTAGAGCCCTCTGTGTGTGTGTCTTTCTGTCTCTCAGACCCCGCAAGGTCAACCAGGTTCAGCTGAGACATTCGGATGTTCACCACGTCATTGGTGGACTCTTTGGACTCCAAAGTCATTGTGAACACTGCATGAGATCTAGACGACTCGCGATTCATGGAGGTGGAGGCCACGCGTCGATTGCGCCAGCCCATAGACAGCACCTAAAGGGATTTCAAACACGTCTGATGGGTTTCATCCACTCTTAACTGGTCAGACATAGTGTTACTAAATATTAAAGTAAGCACAACAGCCTAAAATGACTCACAACAAACAAGAAATTCATACCTGGTAAGCTTCAGCAGCTGAGTTCACAAACTTCTCCACAGCTCCCTCAACAAACACACCCTTCTTGATGTTCTCCCTGAGGAAAAGGCTGGCTGAGGCTGTGTCCAGAAGGTCATAAATTTGCTCATTGTAAATCTCAATAAATGAGCATTTGCAGAGGAAACTCTTGGACTGGCCAGACTTTAGGAAAAAAGAACAAGTTCCACAATAATTAAAACAATCCTAATACTGGGTTACAACACATTCATGCTGATAAAACATTGCAGCTCACCCTTTCTGCTTCTCTGTTGATGAGAAAAAACAGGTACTCAAAACTTCGAGGAATAACCCCTCTTAATTCATCTGTGAAGTTATCCAACTCAGACGGTCCTAGACAAGATGGCAAGAAAAAAAAGTGTCACTTACTTTATTCTGTTGCTTGATTTTAGTGGATTTGTTATATACAACTAATAGTACTCACCAAGCATGGTGAACGTTTTTCCTGAGCCTGTTTGTCCACTGCAGAAGCATGAGAGAAATCCAGTAAGGGATTGATTGTGCCATTACTTATTTTACATTGTATATGAACAACATAAACACCACTTACTAGGCAAATATAGTACCATTATATCCATTCATGCAAGACTCAACAATATTTTTGGCCACACTGGAGAATACAGAGTCCTGTTGAAAAATGACAGAAAGATCACACAGACACTCTTATTACAATCAACTTTTTTGAGTCATACAAGCTGCATCTCACACCGTTCAAGATATTATTTAGCCGGTATGTTTACACTAAAATAACCATGTGCCCCCAAACCTGAGATGTGTCCATGTCAGCAACATGATCATAGGTGAAGGTCCGTGGTTCTGGTTTGGACAGCAGACGGATGGTGTTGGGTGAAGTGACGGTGAGACACAGACTCTGATCTCCATCTGTGGTCAGCCCAGTGCCCTGAGTGAGCGGTCGCACTCGGACAAACACTTTGATGGAGTCGCTGTCACCACTGCAACGCCAGAAAGCAACAACACTTATAAAACCGTAAACCTGAGCTGAAGATGGAATTAAAGAAGTACAAGTAGTATTTTATAGTCTTCTTGTAAAAACGGTTAACCTGACAGGCAAACTGATGGACATCTTAGAAAGGGGGAAGAAAAAAACAACCACACACTGATAGGGTGAGAATATTAACCTGGTCCTGGATCAATAGCATAGGGCATTTTCAGTTTAACGTTACTATCTGTAAAGTTAGCAACGTGGCTTTAGCGTACGTGTGAACGAAACAAGCAGAACATAATAAAAGCTATTTACCTGGCAGCAATGTGGGTTGAATCGCCAGATCCTGTCGACAACATTACAAAACTGTTAAACGTTTGTTCAGATGATTATTCGAGTATTTCCTTGCAGCTGTAGCTAAATTACATCGACAAACATATAATTTAATGTCCCCATTGTCCCGTTAACATCAACATAGCGGTTTGGTTAACCGGAGAGTGTTAGCTAAGTCATGTTAGCTGATGTCTACTCGCTAATTAGCTTGCTAACGTTACAAAAACAGAAAATGATGGCGTCGACATGCTGGAGTGACAGCGTTTTAGTTTCCAAACCGAACAAAGATGTGTTTAGTGCGCTACCTTTTCCACCGGAATTCATCGTTGACAAAGAAATATTCGCCGTTACGCAGTAAAAGCTAATTTCTTCGCTGCATTTCGACGAGCGAAGTCAGACGAGGAAGGACCCTGATCTGTTTACATCCTTTAAAATTGGCGCGCAGCTCCGCCTACTCTTCTTCTTCTTCTTCCTCTCCTCCTGTGTAGTTTACCGAGTTAATAAACAGCTCCTAGGTGAAATACCGCCACCTGGCGGACAACATGTAGGACTAGGACGGTTATTGCACAAATAACAACAACAACAACAACAACAATAATAATAATAATAATAATAATAATAATAATAGTAAATGAAAAATACACATGTACCACACAACTCCTCTGCAGTATTTCTCTAATACCTGCAGTCATTTGAGTTTGAAGTGCAAATTTAAATATGTGTATCTCTTGTTGATATTTAGAACAGAGTAAAAATGCATCCGTCATTGATTAATATAGTCTGCGATGCTCACGTCTACCCATAGCCTTTACTTCTTCTTCTTTTAGTTTTTTTTTCTTTGTAATTTTTTGTACCTCTGTGTAAGAGCAATATCATTTTTTTATTCTGTTATGCATAGATTGCTAATAGATTAAGGAGGTTTGAGGATAAACAACGAATATGTGCGTAAACAAGGTGGATATGGAAAAAAAAAATCTGTTTAATATGATTCCTTCAGTATGTTAGTGATGTCATTCAAAACCCTGTAAGCTGTAATGCACGTATTTTTCCTCCATGTTTTCTTTTACTTCAATTTCTTTTTTTTCCTTTTTCTTTTTTTAAAATATGAATGGTTGGTACGTTAATTGTTTGTCGTTTAAGTGATTTTAAAAACAGCAGTGTGGTTATCCTTCTGCTGTTTCTGATGTCCTCGCCTCATGGCGCAGCCGTAGAATGGATCACTCCTGCTCTTTAACGCGATTGGCTGCTTAACCCGGAAGCGCGTTTCCTTTGAATGGTTCTGGCGATTTCATTGGATCGTTTCAAGACTTTTAAATTCCAAACGGCCGTCGTCCACAGAAGGAGAGGGGAATTCAAAAGCACAGAAGTCCTGCTTCTTACCGTTCAGTCGCATGCTTGGACGATAGACGGTATAATTTCTACCAACGGCGTCTTTTAAACTAAGGTGGGTCGTAAAATACAGAAATGTACGCTTTCCAGTGTTTCATGTTTTTAACAAGTGATCCCGAGTTTGTGTTTTCCGTTAACTTCAGAGCTAACAGTTAGCTAACGAGGCTGTTGTTAGGCGAATAAATAGGCGTTTGTATATCTTGGGTGTCCTGAGGTTTAGGACTGAGGGCATGATTTCACTGGGGAATTGTTAGGAAATCCACCTGAGATATTGTAAAGTTTATTTACGTTGGATTACGCTAACTTAGCTGCAACTAACGAATGCATGAAAACGTTGACAACACTGGTCTCATGACACCCACAAGACAAATATATCATTCAGTGCACTGGAGCTAAACGATGAGGGGGAAACACGGTGTCTCAATGCGACTTTTCAAAAGGATATTGCGATTTGCTGCCTCATTTTAAAGATTCAGTTCACTCTGTAATAGATTTAATTGCATCTGATGGGCGTTTACAACATGAGACCTCTTCAATATATTACCTGATCTATCTTCAAATACAAGGATGAGAGCTTAAAGATGTCATCTGCTTCAAACATGTATTTAAATCATTTTAAATAAATAAAGAAGAGCTGCAGCAGTTGTCACAAAAGCTGTGACTGGTAAGTTAAATTGAAAGATCAATATTAATATTAATAACAGTGTGATGTATCCAGCCCTAATGCTCACAAATCAAATAGTTTTGAACTTTAGTGTCACCAAACTCACTCGTATGCAGTCATGAATACCTCAGCATGTGTCAGAATGTCATGTGTTAATTACAGCCTAAAATGTAAAGTTTGTTTATTGCTGACATTTATGTACTTATGACTCACATCCTAAATGTCACGTGTTCCTTCGGGGTCACCACATGTTCTCCAACATCTGAATCATTGAAATAGTTATTAGTGCAGCTTTGGAGGAAATTAGTTCAGCCATGTCCATTTCCTTGGAAGTCTTAGCTCACTTAAGGCTATTGATGCTTTCACGGTCCTTGTTTCACAGCTGCCTTCATTAACAGCACTAACAATGGCTGCATACTGTCTAGTGTTCCAGCTCCAGGGCCTTTGTACTGTGCATAGAGGCTCACTGGTATGACTCACTGGACCAACTCACTGGACCAGAGACATTTAGACAAATTTCACACTCCTGGGATCTCTAGTCTGAACAGTCCTTGTTTTTAAAAATCTGACACTAATGTTTCAGTGTGTTGTTTCTATGTACATAGTGCTATGTTGTCTCACAGCAATTTTCTTTTTGCATAATAATAAAAGTTGTGATCAAGATATAACTAGACATTTTATGGTTAAAAAGTGAAATTGTCAGTGCCCTCTGGTGGACAAACTTTGCAACTGCTGCACTGTCTCTACTTAAAGTATTTTGATATTGTTGTACAGAAATTTCCCTTCTGACTGTCCATCATATGCACAAATGACCATGTCTGTAAGGTAATAGTGGCTAAGAGTTTTGCTTAGCAATTTTGGAGCACTGCTTGGGCACCTTGGATTTTTTTTTAACCTCTAGGCCGTTATGCATAACAATTTTAAGAAGATCTATTTTTATTTCTCACATCTTACCTCACAAAACCTTCTACTGTTTAGAAAAGGAGGATATTTTATCAATATAAAAATTAGGGGAATGCATCAACCAAGGTTTACAGACAACAATAAATTGGCTCGGTGACATCTACCCTGATTCTGGTGGAAACTTTTTCTGTCCACACGCGTCAGTAAACCCCACAACAACCTAAAGCGTCTTATCAGTTGGGCGCAGCTTTCAGGACACCACCTCCTTCAGCTCTGTGAGTTAACAGTTTGTTTCGCCGCCTTTGCAGGATGAGTTCTGTTGAAGTCAACGATGAGAATCGTGGGGTTTGCCCTGGAGGAAAGCACAACAGCTCAAGTAACGACATATTCGACCTGGATCAGCCGACTGGGAGGCCGTCCATCCTGCGCCAGACAGAGAACCTGCCCAGCAAGACTGTGCCAAAGGGGACGAAGGTACAGAATGTGGTTTTTGTTTGTTTGTTTGTTAGAAGCTGTGTCCCCCTTCTCATCTCCATTCCTGAAAATACTTTACAGTCAGAAGAAAGCTACGCCCACATTTACTAGATTGTGTTAAACTAAAGGGATAAAAAAGGAGATTATTAGTTTTGTTGCACCAGTGAACACAGAACTTGTTTAATTCTGTGAATACATAAAGTTTCATCTCAGCCTATTTGTAGCCCACCTTGAATCAACTTCAACAAGATTCTAATCAAACATTAAAAAATAAAAAAACTTGTGTGAATGGACAGAAACAGATATTTTCAGACACATTTTTAGCACGAATTATACTGACTTATACTAAAATCAGTAGCAAATTCATACATTAGTCAATCTCGCTCCCTCTTTATTCTTTTCTGCAGCATATTTTGCATCCAGGTGACCATTTGTTCTCCGTACTGACTCCGTTCTTTCTGTGCAGGTTTGTTTCCAGACTCCAAGAAGAGACCCTGTGACCAAAAGAATTCTGTCTCCCAGCAAGTCTGTCAGGATGTCAAGCGTGGACGAGTGCACAAAAGCAATGGAGTCCTTAAATTTGGATAAATTAAAGTAAGTTCTGTATCCCATACTCCAATCCGCCTTCAGAGAAATTCCTGGTTACATTTCAGTAACCGACGCCGTTTTGTTTTCGCAGTACTTTGCAGCAAGAAACCACAGAGCAGCCAAAACAAGGTAATTTATCCAAACTGATCAGCTTGTTTCCTTTGATTTCTCTCACTGCGGAAAAACTAATGGCAAGTGTTTTTGACTTTTTCCACAGAACTGTCATCTTATCCCGATGACAACATGCCAATTCAAAGCAAGGGGGGCTACCAGCTGGATTTTGACAACCTTGACGCTATCGATCCTTTTCAGGGGTCTAATAAGATGCTCCTCTCTCCTGCAAGGCCTGCAGCTGAAAACCCTCCTACACATCCTACTGAGCCTCAGCCCACAACTCCAGAGAATATTTCAGAGGAACCTACCAACATAGAATCTGCACTAGATGAGACACTTCCATTCACCCCATCTATTGATAACTCCCTGGCCGATGTCACTGCAGACATCAGCTCCACAGAGAGCAGCGTGGTCACAGTAGTGAGAGTCCCAGCAATAGAGGAACAAGATTCATACAGCGCTACACCTGATGACAAACAACCTGCTAACATGTCTTCAGCCGCTGAGGAAGACAAAACATCAGGCAGTTTTGTGGAGGATGCTCCACTTCCGGCAAAAGGTTCCTATAACTTTGATTTTGACAACCTCGACGCCATCAATCCTTTCCAGACCGGTGGCTCCAAAATTCAAAATTCACCCGTCCTTGGGAGAAAGGTGTCAAACAGCGATCCACCTGCAGAAGAAAGCAAACCTGCAAATGTTGTTGACGTCCCCGAGGTGGCCCAAGAATTGCCTGTTCCGCTTGAGGCGAAGCCCGAAGCTGCAGTGGCCCCAGCATCTCCCAATACTGCAAAGCCTCCAGCGGCCGAGTCCAAGCCAGCCGATGCCCCAGTGAAGAAAAGCCCAGTCAAAGAAGGACCAGTCAAACTTGAGTTCAGTTTCGGCGATGGCACCGAGGTCAAACCGAAGCCGCCGCTCAAGAAATTTGGCAAAAGGCCACCAGGTGCAAAACCTAAAGAGGTAAAGCTGGCGTCTGACGTCAGACCTCCAAAGGAAGCTCCAGTGAAGCCTGATGCCAGTGACGCTGTGGATGTTCCCGTTCAGAAAGGCTCTTACTCATTTGACTTTGACAAGTTCGATGACCCAAACTTCAATCCCTTTGGCACGAAATCGGGCATGAGCAACTCTCCAAAGAGCAGCAAGAAATCCAGCCCTGTGCCCATGGAAACGGTGACTCCAGAGCAAAATGAGGAACCCATGGAAACGGAAGCTGCATCATCAGTGTGGTATGTTAACTATTTTGTCTGAGTGTACCAAGTATTTATGTGCAGTGGACAGTTAGTTGCCAATAGCGCTGCGATTCACTGTACAATTTGATATGCTTTTGCCCCTTGTAGCGCTGGAGAGAGTTTGCCAAATGCCGAACCCAGCCCTGAAGTGGTAAGACAGCAACGCAGTTCAATACAAGTCTCGACAGAGTTTCCCTTTTGGGTTGTGTGTGTTTTTCACGAACACTTTGTGCTACAAAACGACAGGTGTCTGACAATAAGGTTGCCTCCGACCTCGACAAGGGACTTCAAACTGAAGAAAAAGTGCCAAACCTTCCTGAGCTCCCTGAACCCGACCAGAAGTCCCAGACTGACATGTTCGACTTCAACGAAGAGTTTGTTCCTGGAACCACATGTGAGTTGAACAAATTTTCAGAAAAGTGGTTTATACTATTCACCCTGTAGTTTCATAGAAGCTTTTTGCTTCATGCTGTATGGTAGTGACGTATTTGTTAAATGGAAAGCTGTTTCTGATGCCAACCCATGATCTTTATCTCCAGTCATGGCCAATGACTTTGACGGACAGATTGATTACCTTGAACAGTTTGGGTCCAGCAGCGTAAGTACTTATTTCATATTAAACTGGACATGTTTATTGTTAGTGCATGACCTGGAGGTATTTAGATGCTTTTTTTTCTTGCTATTTTTTTCCACCTCAACAGTTCAAAGAGTCTGCGCTGAGGAAACAATCGTTGTACCTAAAATTCGATCCCCTCCTGAGAGAGAGCCCCAAGAAGCCTGCAGGCCCGGGCGTCCAGCTCCACGTCGCTCCTCCTGCTGCCTTCGCTTCACGGTAAGATGTACTTTTGTTTTCATTTTTCAGAGCTAATTATGGTCTGCTTCGGACCATCACGTATAACAAAATCTAACCACATCACATCTGGGTGTTTTTTTTTTTCATTTCTGTCCAACTCAGGCTTGAAACACCACAGATGGCAGAAAAAGAGGCAACAAAAGGACCACAAAAGGATGCTTTCAGACTGTTTGATGATGCTTCAGCACCGGTAAGTCAACGGGCGACCTCGACTGACTCGGTTACTCAGTTTTGTCTACAATGCTTCACTGTTCAGCCCCGTTACTGTGCAAGTAAACAACGTTCTCTTTTACGTTTTGAGGATATTGTCTCTGGGATTGTGACATGTCCCTAGTCTGTTTTAAGTCAACATTTCTTTGCTGTTTATTCTATTGTTTTGCTCCTTTTAAGCCAGCCAGTCATGTATAACATGAGCCAGGACTCATTCCTCTGGTAGCCTATAAAATGAAGGAGAAAGTTCAGACATACGTACTTACTGTGCATACATATATGTGTGTTATTTTCCTAAACCCAGCCAAGTAATTCTGGTGCCTAAAGCCCAACCAAGCAAGAGGTGAAACTGAAGCTTGGGTCTCAGAATGCTGGACATAAATCCCAGCTCTGCTATGTCACAGTTGTACCTTTCGGGGAGACGATCTTTAAAAATGTAAATGAGAATGCAGTTTGGTTTTATAGGAACGCAGCTTTGGGGGAAACAGAGCTGCAGTGTTCCATCTTCTGACTGTAAACTACCTGTCATCTAGGCTCCAATCCTCCAGACCATCGTCCCTCCGTTCCCCCAGCCAGCCAGCACGGAGGACGCCATCATCGAAGTGCTGAAGTACAGCCAGAAAGACATGGACGCAGCCATCGCCAAAGCGCAGGCAGAAGTACGTCGTTGTTTTGCGACCTGACAAATCCCAGCAGTCGTTTCAAACACAGATGACATTTTTAAGTTTTGTTTGGTTGTTCATGTACATTTTGAGCAGATCCAAACATCCACACTCCACTTTGATGATGTGATTTTTTTTTTTTTAAACAAATCTCTGGAGCAGTTTAGAATAATCTGGTTGAGCCACAGCAAACGTCGGCCAACGCAGATCTAATATCAAAGAAACCTTGTTTAACGAGGGGATGCCAGTGACTGTTCTGCTCGCTCAGTTAATGTCAGCAGAGTCTAGTTTCTAAAGAAAGACAATAGATGAAAAGGTATCAGTGATTTAAAGGAGAAAAACAAAATCACTGTTAGCTTCTCAAAGTCTGTTCTTAGACCAGAGTTGGGAGAAATCGACTTTCTTAGCAGTTTTATTTTCATCAATAAATGGCTGTTTTGTACAAATTTGACAATTTAATAGACAGTCAAAGGAATTAAAGTCAAAACCTGTCTCAGTCTGGAGCATTTTGAAGGTTGAGAAAGCTCCATTACTTTTAACTAATAACTCCTAGGACTTATTATTCTTAGCCGTTAGAATAATTAAAGTGTTCATTCTGTCAAATAGGCAAAAGAAAAGGAGCAGCAGTGGAGCGCCAAGCATAAAAAGCTGCTCGATGACGGCCAAGAAATGAGGTACGCTTTGTGTGTTTCAATACAGTGTTTGTCCATTTTATGCAGTGACAGTGTTTCAAGATATCTGATGTCTTTTTTTTTCCTCTTCACAGGAAAATAATTGCAGAATTTGAGCTTATGATTGCCAAAATGATGGGTAGGTTAAAACTGCTTATGTAATATGGCACGAGATCATTTATACCGTGGTGTGTTAAAAGAAAGCTTCTGTTTTTAGCTGATCAGGAGCAGGAGAGAGCGGTGGCTCAGGACAAGCTCAACGAGGCTCTGCTGGAGAAGGACCAGGTGTCCAGCGACCTGAGCGCCATGGAGAGATCCTTCTCTGAGCTGTTCAAGAGGCTGGAGAAGTACAAGGATGTCATCGAGGGCTACAAAAAGGTTAGAGTTCATGGAGACCAAGCGTTTGCAGTGTGCAGGTTTGGTGGTGAGGAGGCAGAAAGGAGATCTGAATGTTTTCTGTGTCCTTCCTCCAGAACGAAGAGACCCTGAAGTCCTGTGCACAGGACTACCTGGCAAGGATCAAGAAGGAGGAGCAGCGCTACCAGACCCTCAAAGCTCACGCTGAGGAGAAGATTGGCCAGTAAGAACCACCTGACATTTGTGTTAATTATGTTGTTAAAAGCTTTGGGAAACTCACTAATTTATTTCCCATCCTCAGTGCAAATGAAGAAATCGCTGAGGTACGATCCAAGTACAAGGCCGAGGCGTCTGCACTTCAGGCTCAGCTGCGCCGGGAGCAGCTGAAGGTGCAGTCGCTGGAGAAGAGCCTGGACCAGAAGGTGAGCGAACACGTGAATTAAACGATGTGGATTTGTTTTGAGGATTAAAATGTATGCTGTGTGACTGAAAACTGACTGCACTGAATGTTGGGCCCTGCATTGAATGGTGAGAAAACGTTGCCTGAATACGCTCAGTCCACTGCACAACACTTTAATTTGTGTTTACTCATCACTGTACAACACAGTTAGATTAAAAACATGTACTTGAGAGGGAGAAGGAAGATAAGTTGGTTAAAAAAAATATGGATTTGTAGAAATTAGACATGTCACGTTTGTGAAGTTATTAAGACGACTTCAACAGAATGGGCCTGCTCCGTTATTTCTGTACGTAAAATATAATAAATTCATCTTCACAAGAATAAATTAAGTCAGTTGCAAATTGTAGATAAAATGTGTTTATCAAGACAAGATGTGGTTTCGTTGTTTTCTAATCTCAAAAGGCTTCATTTGTGCATTAAAGTAACTGAACATTTCTTCCCAATATCCTTGATTTTAGTTTTGTGATCTTTTTTTTTGACTCCTAAGTTTGCATGTCAGTATAAAATCTTACTGTTTATTATTTCTTATGTTTTACAGGAGAAGGAGGCCGAGGAGCTCACCAAACTCTGTGATGAGCTCATATCCAAAGTTCAGAAGGGCTGAGCTGATTTGTAAATACTGTAGTTTGTAATTACCTCTGGGTTGTTTTTGTTCTTTTAAATTGTTGGCGTCCAGATCATTTTCTTGTGTAGTGTTTGTCTTTATCAATGTTCTTATAATACTGTAAAAAGTTTAATAAAGATGATTTACAAGTTTAATGATTTCGTGATCATTTAGCATCCCACCACTAGAGGGCAGTGTTCGCCTTCAGAGCCTTTGACTCTGGACATCTGGGTTTTGCATTGGAAGCATTATTTATGGAAATGGAAGTAACATGGCTGTGCGAGCCCTAAAGTTTCAGTCTGAGCTGCGTTAAACACAGACGGGGGCTGTTCACTGTTCTCAGCCGTCATCTGTCTGGAGCCGGAGCTCATCTCCGTCCCGCAACGCTCACGACAACACAAGGGCTCACCTGATACAATGCTCCCCTTCTTTCCTGAGCAATCACGGGCTCCTGTCACATCACTCCCAGAGCAGGACAATGCACTTCCTAAATGGTGAAAGGAAATCCTAGCTAGATTGGAGCTGAATGAGGTGGTGGTGCGGGGAGGGTAGATTCGCTTAAATGGGAAAAGATGCTGGTGGTTGGGTGTAGTCTTGCAGGGGCCATCGCTCATCTAAAAAGCGACCGTGAGACTGCTCTTGTGTCTGTATCTATTCAGTCATTCATCGCAGCAACTTGTGTCCCTCTGCTGGCTGCCCTCTGCGTCACCCTTGGGCGGACACTTCAACCCGCTCAGAGGAGGAAAGCTGACCTGTGGGAGCCCCGATGTTTGAGGACGGGTCACTGAGATGATCTTATCCTCGACATTAACCCTCGTGAAGCTCGTGACTCTTGTTTCAGGTCATTTAATTCAACTATCAAACCTTCAAAAAAAAAAAAAGTATTTTTTTCCGAACCTTGAACAGAGTACATCAAACAAGATTGTCAAATATAACCAATTACATACAGAAATACCTAAAATATTGGCATGAAGTACATGTGATTAAACTGGGTGACAAAATACTCAAAATGTACTATACACAACAACAACAACAGTATACTTTAATAACATTACATATGTAAAATGCCTTACTCTGAAAAATAAACCTTTGATACATTTTTTTTTTTTTTAGCAAAATAAATTAAATATTCATGACTCAGTTTGATTATAAACGACTACAGCTTCATAAACTGTGGTTGGATAAGGAGGTGGTCAAAAAGACTGCTGGTTTATCTCAACATGCTACTGACTAGTGATGGGAGCCTACCTAGAAAAAAAAGTTAAAAATGATAACCAACCCAGTTCACATGGAAACTCTTCCATCCCTTGCAGTCTTTGGCAAGGTTTGCACGCCGTGAAAAGACTCCTAAAAACTCACTATACCATCTTTAACAGAGAACCGAAGGGAGGGATGGAGGAACATAAGGAATAGTGGTCAGCATTCCCAGCTTAACGCATCTTTAACAAACACCTGAGTAGGAGCATAAAACCAGCCCTTTGGTAAATCTCGAGTACCGTTTTTTTTTTTTCATTACCAGAACATCCAGAGCCTCTGCACTCCAACAGCTGAGTATGTGAAAGGTAAAACGAAACTCCCATTTAGGAAAAAAAATAAATTCAGCTGCTGAGGAAGGACCTCTCAGCCGGCCTGAATAGCTGCAATTAAACTCACACTCTGCAAAAAAAAAAAAAAAAGTCCTTGTCCTTTCTGTATTAAGTGCACAACAAGGATTAATGGATTTTAGTGGTGTGAGAATCTGACAGGTAAAAAAAAAAGAAGAAGAAGAAGAAGCACCAAATATGGAAGTTTTTAACACAAAATGTGTGTATCACTGGCCACTGTTGTGTTGTTTTGTTTTCACACAGTTTTCCCGTCAGCTGTGAGAAGAGTCTGAACGTCAGTCAGGAGCTGCCGGTCGGTCCGCAGCTCAAAGAGACACTGGAGCAGTCAGTGGGGAACATTTGGCACTGAGGCTAACACTGAAAATGAATGTGTTGATGCTGGTGTACTTTCCCGTCCACGTGGGAGTGAGTGTGCGTGTGAATGTCAGTGTAGATTTTGGGGTAGATTTTCGGGGGGATGGTGGGACCTCCCTGGCTGAGGAGGAGCTGCTGCTGGGCCAGGTACTCCTCATAGTTCATGGAGCCCATGCAGTCTTTGTCTGGGTTCGAGGAGCTGGACGACGGGGCCACGCAGCCCCGGTCCCGCTCTCGGTACGGCGGCCGGTGGGAGCTCTGCAGCACCTGCGCCGCCGGAGCGCTGGGAGGCGGACAGTGTTTTCTGCTCTGGCAGAACCACAGCAGCACCGTGCCGAAGATGAACACTATTCCGGCGGGGATGCCGATGATGACGGGCCAGGGGAGGGAGCTGGAGGCGGGCGAGAACATGGGCGTGATGGGAGGCTTTGTGTCTGCAAAAGAGGATGAAGAAGAAAAAGAGCGATCAGAACACGTTGCCAAATCTGAACCATGTTAACTAAAAGCTTTAGTCGGTCTGTGTGAGGCTTCGTGGTTCTTTGTTCACCTTCAAAATGAAAAATGGATCATGAAACATTTCCTTTTTTTCTCACTACTTCAAAAATGATCATTTAGAATTCTTCACATTTGAGTTCTTGCTTTTAGAATGAGAGTTTGGAGCAAATTATATTAAAATTATCCATGTCATCATCTATCGGCTACGCTATATATTAGGCACTAAGAAATGCAGCTGATAAATCATTGCATGGCTGGATGTGCTCTATAATACATCACAAGGCGACTGTGTCTTCGGCTGCCTGTGAATCCCCCCCCAGGCAGTAATGGTTCAGTCCAACCACAAGCACAGAAACTTAACTTAAACTTCAGCTCTGTTACTCCTGAATCAATCATATTTGTTTCGTTGTCTGCAGCCACAAGCTCAAGTGTTTTTTTCTTGTTTTGTTCAATTCTAAATTCTAATTCGACAACCCAAACGTGAACAGTTAAGAATTAAACTGAGATCTATTTATGAAGTAATTTTAAAAAAAGGAGAACGAAAGATTTTGCATTTGATTCATTCTGATGCTGCAAATGCGACTAAAAAGTCCCACACAGACCGTAAACCCATTTTTATTTTCATTCTAATAGTTTTTGATTCATTGCTTTGTCAAGAAATGTGGAATGAAAATCCAAACACACGTCACGATCTATGACTTTTTGTTTACACGTGACCAAACTTCCACATCATGAGCGATCTGCAGCTGCTGATAAAGACTGAGAGATGTGTCTAATTTTAGGATAAAAATAGAAGAAAAAGCAGCAAATATTCACGTGTGTGAGGCTGAAAATGCAAACATTTCTTCTTGATAAGTGACCTAAATGATTGATTGAACACTGATTGTTAAATTTTTATAGCTTGATTAATAGATAATTGCTTAGAGCTGGTGGAAAATCTCCCTCAACCATCAAGAAACGGATGAAAGTCGAGTAATTTGACTGTTTCGTATTTATTTGGTGGAAAATAAAACAAGCTCCGACTATATAAAAACTGAATCGAGACGGATGAAAGCGAAACGTTTCTGCTTGTTTGTGTTTTCTTGTCATCCGTCCTCAGAGGAACTCTGCCGTCTCGTTTTTATTTCAGTTTGACGTTCCTCTGATGTTTTGTTGCACTAAAAATAAACCATCAGATATCATTTCTGACTGTATATGTGGGTACGGTGATACCACAGAAACCCGTCCAGGCTGCTGCTCTGTTGCTCTGCAGTGTGTTTGGATGGCTGCCGGCTGCACTGACACGCTGTGAACAGGCCTCACCTGGCAGCACAGTGAGGAAGGCACTGCGGAAGCTGTAGCCCATGGTGTTGGCGCCTAAGCAGATGTACATGCCAGCGTCCTCCTCCTTGGCGCGGGTAATGAGCAGCTTGTTGAGGAAGGAGCCGTCGGGCCTCGACCACACCTCCCCCGTGGGCAGCACCACAAATCTGTGGTCCCCCACCTCGATGGTGGAGTTGTAGCGGCTCTCCTCGTTGGTCTCCACGCGTTTGAGCCACTGGATGACCGGCTTCACGTCGCTCCTCACTTTGCATTGGAAGGACGTGGTGCCGCCGTAGTCCACCGTGGTGTTGACCGGGTGGGTGCCCGTCAGAATGGGTTTGGAGTTTGTCCTCTCTGCGTCGGCACAAAGAAAAAGTGTCAAGGCACATCTTCTGACATGACAGCTCCTCTGCGGATAGAAGAGGTCTTAGTTGCCCATACTGTTATTAGCCTCAGGCTTAGAACTTCTAATTGACAGAGAGGGAGGAATACCACATGTAACACAAGAAGTATGTGTGATTAGTTTCCTCTCTTTCTTTGCTCCTGGTTGTACAGCACACATTTCTCATGGGAAGGGGGGGCAGCGGGTCTGGCAGACAGCTGGGCTTTAATCAGCTCCAGATTGGGTGGATGGTCTCCGAGCTGAGCAGCCTCGCTCGCTCTCCCCCCTGTGCAAACACCAGGGCACAAGCCCTCGCTCTCCAGCTCGCTTCCTTAATATGCTCCTCATATACATGATTACACAAGCACATTCATCCATGCAGCGAGGATATGAATAAGACCTGCTGATCGCAATCAGACGTCAGGAGTAGGTAGATCAGAGAGAAGATATTTGAAAAGTTACAGTTTTTCCACGGCCAAAATTAGACCTACTATTACGGTGATTAGACCATTTTAATTTCCTGCAGCAGTGTACATAAGACCGCAGACATGATCCGCACACACACAGCAGTAATCACTTAAATTAATTTGCTCGGCCTCATCTGTTTGCACTAATATTTCCAGGTGAACATGTTTGGTATGCGTACAGCTCATGCTCTCTGCGGGATACTCACGTATGACCTCAACCTTGTACGTGGCGTTTATTTCCCCCGCCCGATTGGACACCCTGCAGGTGTATCTGCCGCTGTGCTCCGGCGTCAGGTTCCTCAGGCTGAGGGTCCACTTCTTCTGACGGCCCTCGCCGACCTCCTGCTCCGTCAGCGGCCTGTCGTCCTTCAGCCACACGATGTCCGGTCGAGGGTTCCCGCTGGCTGTGCACTTGAGCCGCACCGAGCTGCCCACCGGACGGGCGATCACCCTCTTCCTCATCTTGGCAGGTTGGGTGAAGCGGGGACGCACTTTGGGAGAAGGTGGAGAAGAGATTTACTCACTTTACTTTTATTTAAGTAGTTTATCCTCACTGTGGTGCTTTACATTTTGTCCTGCCATTTCTGTATAAGTATAATCCATCTGAATTAATTTTCTAAATCAAACAGCAGATGATTAAAACTTAAATCTATTAGTGAAACAATGCAAACTTTCTGAATCAAGCAGCAACTACAATAACAGAACTTACAAATTAATTGCAGACCTCATGTCTCTTTTTATAGAGATTAAAGGAACCCAACATCTGAATTTAAATGGCAAAAAAAAAACTAAAACAGAACAACAGCTCGGTTTGATTATTGCCGTGAAAGTTCATGTGATTTGTTGTAAATACAATAAAGAGAGCGAAGCCACTCAGACGCTCCGGTGATTTACTCCTGCATCACTGCCAAACAGAAATCTCACCGAGTTTTTCACTGCCGGGCTCCGACTCCGCTCCGTCAGCTGGTCCGGGTCCAGTTTTATCAGAACCTGAGTCATCTGTTAACACAACGAGACAAGGCTCAGTCATCAAAAGAAAACAATAAAATGTTTATTTGTGTAAAAACAAAAGAATAATTGCCGCATAAAATCCTATTTAATTGAAGCATTACATGTGATACTGATCTAATATTAGTGTTGCGCCTCTTAAATAACTCAAAATTCCCGTTTCACATCCCAGGGCGATAAAGACAACAAAGAACTGATGATATTATAGGTGCCGCTTTTAACTCGCTGTTGCCATCCTGGTCTTCATTTCTGCCAGTGTTACTGTCACAGCATTGGTGGTGGCGGCGACCCAACACCGAACCAGCCCAGAAAAGCCTTCCTGGCTCTCTCCGAGTAAATTCAGCATTTATCGACAGGCTGCTGCGAGAGGGCTGCATGCTCAGGTCATTCTCTGTAGCATTTGGGGAGTAATATGATCGGTTTTCATAAGCCCGGTTCCAGGAGACAGCTGTGGAGTTTATGTCACTGGCTGACATCATGCAGCGGAGCTAAGACAGGGCTTAGAGAAAATATAATGAGTGAAACCTAATCGACAGTTTGTGATGCGTATCGACTTTTCGAGTTAAGCAGTGATGAATTAACAGAGCAGATCGGGTTCCTCGCCAATATCTGCCAATCTGTGCAGACAGAGACATTAAGCAGATGATTGCTGGAGAAAGGCTCCTCTTAAATGATTTGTTATGATACGACCGAGGTGCCGACTCGCATTAGCTTCACTGACGCCGTTTCTAACAAAAAAACTGAAACCTGCAAATGTGTGATATTCCAAAAAACAACAATTATTAAATTATCGAAGGCGATGCAGATGAAGTCTTTGTCCAAGTGACTCATGGCACCGCTTCACCTCCAGCGTGCTCTAATAACAGTTCAAGAGGAAAAACCAGCAGCCAGCTTTTTACCTTCCGTGGCTTGTTTTGATTTCTGGTTCACTGCAGCCTTATGTAGGATTTTTCAAGATGTAGTTTGGCACACTTGATTCCCTCTCAGGGCTTGATTGGGTCAGGTAAAGAGACCAGATGTGACTTCTAACCCCCTCGTTCTGCCTCCCTCTGAGTCCCCCCGAAACCCTCAAAGCTCTCTTGGGTTCTCTGGGTACAAACCCTCCTTTGTTTGTCCCCTGCAGCACCAAGCCCAGCCATGATGTCATGGCTATTTGAAGGGGTTTAACTGGCCAACTATAATAACCCATTCCTTTAAAAAACAGCCTCCACTGGAAGAAATATTTCTCTGTTGCTCAGTTGGGCTCTCCACATTCCTCCCGGTTCCTGAACCTCCCAATCCAAACAGAACATGGTCCCACACTGCCGGGGTTTTCTTTCTGACTTTTTTTTTTTTTTTTTCTTGAATCTATTTCCTCTCTACTTTTTGGTGATTCTAGGGAACAATGGCGCCCTTTATACGTCTGTCCTGTTAAAGCTATCCCTTGCCATTATTGTCTTTACACAATGCTGGCCCACTAAACTGCAGACAGGAGCGAGGTAGGAGGATCTCATGGCTGCCAGGATTGTTATTTTTGGAAGGCTGAGAAATAAAATAGCCAATACATACGGCGTGCCTGAGAGTCTGAGTTATGGATTCAGTGTTTAATCTTCAAACTTTACATACTGTGTGAAATTAATGGTTCACTGTGTCAATGGAAACTTAATTTTAAGAGTCACGATTCAGGCGCACCGCTTATGCAACCCCGACTGAAACTACCAAGTCGGTTAAAATGCAATCAGCCTTTTTCCATACAACTTGAACCCATTCATGGTCTCGCCACAGTGTTTGGGGTCTGACGCCATCCCCTCCCACTTCATTCACAAATCCAGCCACAGGAAACAGGCCGCTACACACTCTCTCTCTCTCTCTCTCTCTCCGCCGGCCTCCTGTGCCAGCTGAATCACAGGAAAAGGCCCTGATGATCTGGGGGTCACAACGAGCTCCAGATGTTGTTGGGGACATTCTAATGTCCAGGGTAAAGTTATGCACAGTGGCCTTCGCATCACACTCTGGAAACCTCCAAACAGCTACCACATGTGATCAGTCAGTTTATCCAGCAGTTGGCCCCGACGACGTCTCCAGAGAGGAGCAGAATGAAAAATGTGCCACGAGCGCCAGCATCTCCGTGTAGGAACAATGCGCGCTGCCAGCCCTGCATTAGCCCCTGTAATTTATTATCTGCGCAGACGCAAACATTAAAAAGCAGCCCCCGTAAATGTTAATATGACAATCCCACGTTAATGCGAATGCGAAGCCCGCCGCAGCCTGAGAAGCTGAGGATGGAGAGGTCGCTGCATGCATCAGAATATCCTGATGGGGGTGCTGGGAGGTGATGGGGCCAGTTGTCAGGAGACCACCCCAAACAGGGCCCAAACAGCCAGCTGGAGGGATTGAGGAGGCGCCATGTTGCACTGACTGACCAGATTCTTCAGATAGCTCTTGGGAGGACAGGCTGTCCGCTGGCAGATGGGAAGAGGGATATCTCTCCAGCCGCAGTGGAACCCCCTCCTCCTCCTCCTTACATCAGCCTGCAAAACCCCTCGCTCTCTCGCTTCCAATCTCACTCCGCTCTTTATCTTACTGTCTTTCTTCTGCTTGGCTTCTCTGCTCGGTCCCAGGCGATGTTTAAAAAGTTATGCTCTCCATGTTGGGCCGTGAACTTGAACGGCTGCCAGGATTCAGTCGACCCCTTCTACTCTGACCGGCGCTGAAACCGACTGCAGTTGCTTCTTGAGCTTTTTCACTCTGTGATCTTGTAAAAACAATAAACTGACATGATGGATACTGTACGCTGGGAGCCTGCTACCCCTCATTTAAGGGAGTTTCAAATAAATAAACTCTCTCCTCTGATCTTTGGGCGCAACATAACAGCACCCTCAGCAGGTTAACTGCGTGCAACAAAATTAAAACGGTCCACAATTAGCTGATTTAATGTTAATGGAAAGTGTTGCTCATGATAATTGCAGACTATTTGGCTGTATTAAGCTGGCTCCGGTCCTGGGAGTGTTTTGACAATGAGGCCTCCTAATCTTTGTGGCAAAAAAGCACCCGGAATGAAATGCACTCCTGATGGAACAATTACCTATAAAAACAAACGGCGTGGCGATTCCCTGCCAGCGCATAATGGGATGACGGACAAGAGGGAGCAGAAACGGAGGAGGGGGCGATGCAGAATTACCGTAAAGTGTCGGTTTGTCGTGCAAGCGCCGCCACCAGAGGAAACAGAACAAACCAGATCAGGGTTAAGAATCAGGCCAGGAAGTCTGTAGGTGACTCCATAAAGGGCTCCTGATAGAAATCTCACGCTTCTGATCAAACTTGCAAAGGTATTTGTTTTTTCTCTCTCACAGAATGGGAGCAGAGCAGCGCATGCAGTCAGGTTGAACTGATCTCCCAGTGACCCCTGCAGCTCCTTAAACTGTTCTCGCTGAAGTCTTCATTCTCACTCTGTCGCTCTGCAGCAGACGTCGAAGCAGACAAATGATCTGTCACATAAACACACCGCAGGGAGAGAGTTGCTATCTATCACCCAGATTAATCGGCTAATTGCGAGCGTCTCCTGCGTGCGCGCGTCGAAATGATCGTTATTCATCTCCCAACTTTAAATCAATATTTAAATCCCTCCCGCATGTGCAGTTTTTGGATCTAGTGCAAAGATAAATACTTGATTTTAAAAATAAACCTGTTTAAAGGGTTCAGCGGTGCAGAAACGTTTACTTACTAGTCTTTGGTTGTGTTTGTTCAAGCTCGTTCTCAGCTTGTGGAGGCATCCAGAAACGTCACAACCAAAACTTAACTTCTATTCATCAAGTTTATGCTAAATGATGAAGCGCAGCAAAGACAAACTGATGAACCATCTTTTTCATTATCTGACCTAAAAACTGTTTTTAAAGCAGGTGAGGGAAAAAGTACCCGACTGCTTAGGTTCAACCCCAAACTGCCAGAAACTGTCACCTTCAATCTCTATGTTGACCTCTGATGTAAGCGTTATTCAGTGTTTATAAAAGTAAAATAATGGCAAAGCACCCATTTGGATGCAGCATTTTTCTTTTTTGTTAATTCCAGGTACAGGTCAAGTCAGATCTTTGACAGAAAAATGCGAATAAATCAACATCTAATAACAGAAAAACGACTTAGAACAACATTTTAAAATCAAATCCTGTGCAGTTTTTTAATGCATCTGTTGCTTACCACTGACACACGAACGCTTGGCACTCGGTGTGATGTTGACACTGTGTTGGGTTTCTTATCTGACTCACTGCAAGGACTTAGCTGGTCGGCCTGATAAGTTAGCGTCTTCAGAAAGGGGAAAACCGACACCCGCTTTCAAATTTATGTGGTACCAGCTGCATAAATCACACTTCACTTTATTACCTACACTTAGTGCTTGAACTTCAAGTGGATCTTTTACTTCTTTTATCACTTTAACTTCCATTTAGTTTCAATCAGCCCTTCAGTTATGTCAAGTTCAAACGTTTAACTGATTGAAATCATTGCAAACTTTTAATTTTTACTGATATTATTAATCAGAAGTATGTTTTAATGACACGTTATGGGGTATAGTCACATATGTAATATCTTCTGTCCAGCGTTTTAAATGTTTATTAGTCTTAACGAAAGGTTTATTCTCCACAGAGTCTTTCCGTCTTGACAACTGCAGTCCAGTCGTCTGCAACCATTTCTGTGCGATGGTGTTCTTACCGACGACCAAAAGAATTTTAAACAGACACTCGTCTTAAGCCCTGAGCTCGTCTGGGATTTTTCCCAGTTATAATGTGACAAAAGAGCAGCCAACCTCCACTCCAAAAACTACCATTATTTCTTTCACAATCTCATGCCAGCATTGAAAATTTAAAGACCTAGCTAGCCCAGAAAATATGGAAATGTTCTGGCATTTCTGTCTTTTCGTGCCTCCAGCGTTTATCCCGTCCCTGAGACCTGTTGAATAAATTTCAATTCCAGAGTCGCAAAATATCGTATCGTGTTCTCCTAACAAAACGATTTCTAAGGTTTCGACAAGAATCTTCAGCAGCAGGCACACAGTCTTTGGATAATTTAATTCTTTTCTTCTTCATATAATAACATCTGCTTTTGCAACTTGGACATGATGTGACGCTCTACTCGCTGTCCTTCATCACTGTTTTATTTAAAATCCATAAAACTGAGCTGAGCATTTTGTTTGGTTTTTGTTAGACATACTCCATCACGCCAATAACACAACACGTACGGTTTCCTGACAGCATCCAATCAAGACCTTCAGATGACACCAGACGTGGTTATCCACAACATGATTGATTGTGAACGCGCTCCGCTATAGAAACTCGGATTGCCCTTCGACGCAGACGCCACGTCCGACTTTGATACCATACAGCTAACTCCACCGTGAACCTTGACATTATAGCTGGCTCTGCGCCTCCATCTCCAACCTTTCATTTTAGCACAATCAGCAGACACCCTCGCTTTGAACTCAGCAGCAGCTTCACATTGAGGGAGACCCTAAAATAAACTGCTGGTCTCGTCTGATCCCCCGCTCACGCTTTACTGCAACAAGTGCCGTTTTCTAAAGTGATCTGTGTTTTCCGCTTCTGCCTGATTATGGCTCTTCTTCTGAAGCATGTCTGTCATAAGACCGGGCTATAACTCCTCCTGTGAGACAGAGCGAGCTCAGGCTCTGGCCCAAATTAGGCATCTTAGAGTAATTAGACTAAACACAGCCTTCACGCTCCACTCCGCTCATTCATCATGCTCTGCTCCAGCACAGAGGAAATGCACTGTATGCACGCGCACAAACGACTAACACACTCGGTCCCACTGCGCTTAATCCTGCAGGCCCCATTCAAGAGCCGTGTGAGAGTCTGGTCTGAGGACAAACCGGCACTTTGACACTGAATGTGTTTCTTATTGCGGCGCTGCAGACCTCCTGCCTCCACAGAGAGTAGCCTAAGGAAAAGGAAGAGCTGGAGATCCAATTGAGTCACAGAGGATGAAGTAGTATGAAACAATATCCCGTGCCGCTGTTGACTTTGGGCAGAGAGGTAGGGGCTGCAGCACATACAACGGAGCAGAGGATCAACCGCTAAACCTTTATAAATCTTCTTGTTTTAGACCTCGACCTCTGTGAGTGATGCTGTCTTTTAACATTTGAACTGTGGGGAGATTTCTGACTGTTGTAAATCTGGCCTCGTAACACCACAGCGGAAGAAGACGTGGTCTGACCGTACAAATCGGGGCCTGACTCACTGCCACGGCCTCTGGTTTTAGTTACCAGACAGGTGACTTCATGTTTTATTGTTGCTGAATCGAGCTTGAATCTTTAACAAGAATGACACATTTTCCAGGAGTGAAACTGAACCCCGTCTGCACTCACCGATGACGATGAGGGTGTAGTTGATGTTGACACTGCCGAAGCCGTTGGTTGCTTTACAGATGTAGGTCCCCGTGTCGTCTGCCTCCACCTCTTTGATCTTCAGGCCCATGCGGAGGATACGAAAGCGAATCCAGCCGCTGTGGATGTTGCGTCCGTCTTTGGTCCACATGATGAGCGGCGGAGGGTCTCCTTCCACGGGACACGGCAGCTTGATGGCGCTGCCCAGCCGGGCCGTCTGTCTGTGGGCCACTTTCTCAGACACCCGCGGAGGTCCTGAGGACACAAAAACACAAAAAAACAACTTAATTTCTGAAACCAGTTTTGTCTTTTGTCAGCACGTGATAACATCGAAAATGGGTTTCTGTGGCTGAGGAGAATATTTAAATGATGTCCCACATTTTACAGGCCAGAAATATCAAAAGTATGAAACAGTTCCTCACAGTCCTAAAGATAAAACATCATCTATGCTGGTGGTTCACAGCCTTTTGGATCCATAACCGTCCCCAACAATGCAGCTTTTCATCACAGGTTACACATCACATTTGTCCAGCTGCCACTAATTTGACTAATGAGGGAGTTTCCCTCCTTTTTGATCTGAGTGAAACATTCAGAATTTATTTCCATGAAAACATTCCCTTCCTGTGATTAAGCAGCTTTGACGTCACTCTACCTGTGATGTTCTGACCTCCGTCTCCACTCACCTCTCCCTACTCGCTGCAGCTCAAGCACACCAGCTCACTGAAAACTGTTCTCAAACATTGTATAACTACTCACGATGGCAAGTTGTAATGGAGTAATTCGGCGACACACATCTGAACAGGGAGTCGATACTCCAGGACAGGGATCTCCAACTCCGGTCCTTGTGAGCTACTGTCCTGCAGGATTGCAACACACCTGACTCACATTAATGGATCATCAACAGACTCGTGTAGAACTTGACAACAAGCTGTTGCAGATCCATTAATCTGAGTCAGGTGTGTTGCAGTAACGTCTAAAACCTGCAGGACAGTAGCTCCTGAGGACCAGAGTTGGAGATCCCTGCTTTAGGAGAATGAAAGCACAGACAGTTCCACCTTCAAGTTGACAGAATTTATTCTTCAGGTTTGAAACGGTACTGAATGGTCTTGACTACCTATTTCACTCAAGATGTGTCTTCTGGCTCAATGCACGACTCAGATTTCACCCCCAAGCCACACAAATCCCTCACCAGTAAAAGGAAGCACCAGATTTTGGCGTATTCGTTTAGTTTCTTCCCAGATCCTGCTTTAAGCTTCTGGTGTGAGTGTTACTGAAGCGAAGTTGCAGCGGCACAAAATGAGAGCGTTTCTTTAAAACAACCGCTCATCGCTCACACTCAGGTTCAGCTCGGCTCACGTGCCCTGATACGGTTAAAGAGGCAAAAAACATCTTTAATGATATTTACAGGTAAAATTTACAGGTGTATCCATTATCTATACATCGCTTAGTCCTCACGGGGGTCGCAGGGGGGCTGGAGAAATTCAAAAGCAAATAATTCAAACAATTTGATTGCATTTTAGTAAAAATTTTCAGGAGAATGAAAGTGAATGTGTGCACGTCCGTGACAAAGTCATCTCACTCTGCGGCTGCAGATTGTGTGACCTGATTAAAGCTCCAGAACAGCTACTGAATGGACCTTGTGGTGAGACTGTTTTGCCAGCTGCTGCTTCCAAAGTCAACTAATCCAACAGTGTCAAAAATATTAACTCGGCCATTCATTTTGCTTGTGACAAAAAAAAGTTTCTTTGAACATCAGAGCGCTGCACGCGAGCAGCTTAGCCAACACCAGTGTATCAGAATAACAAGATATCTGGATCCTGGTTTCCCTCACTCAGCTCGGCCCTGAAGCGGCGTGTTTGTGGGCAGATGAAATGAGATAGAGGTAATTTGTCATCTTTTCGCTGATTACCCAGAAATCTTGAAACCAGATTGTAATAATTGGGCGAGTCCTGTCGTTCGCTGCCTGCACTGAGAGGGTAAAGTGTTCTGGCTCTGGTTTTGCGTAGCGTGCAAGAGATCAAAGCGATGAGGGGGGCGGGTCGCAGCGAGACGGACAGCAGCCTGTTCTCCCTGCTCTTAATTGGCTCAGGTCTGCTCCCTCAGATCTGGTGAAGTGGAGCGGGCCGAAACACCCTGTGATGGTGTTAGGAGGCCTGCGCCGCTGCTCGCACAGCACCAGGCCTTCAGCTAACCCCCCCACCCACCCACCCAGCCGCCCCACCATAAACCAAACAAAACCCTGAATTACTGAGCAGACTAGACACAGAAGAGAAACAGGAGCTCGAGGGAGCGAGAGAGGGGGGAAGAAATGCAACCAAAGCCTATAGCTGCTGCAACCCTCGAAAGTACACAGAGCACAGTCTGTGCCTCGGAACAAATGGCCGGTCTGGTAGCAGTAAAAACAATGGGGAGGGTAAGTACACATGGCCTCTCCCAAACACACGCTCAAACACACACACACACACATAAGTCACATTCCTTTGGTGCATTTCACACATATGGTAAACAAGAAGTTCATTATGCTGATGGGCGTGCAGAGGACACAGGTAACTCCATCTGGCCGTTTTATCCATCACATTGCCGACAGATGCATCTCAGCTGCGGGTACGACATCTGGACTGACCTCTGATGCTAAAAAAAAAAAAAAAATTAAAGTCTGGACACATTTTCTAAAAAATATATAGCTGTAAACGATGTGCCATAAAACTCAGTGGGGAAAAAAAAAAGAGAAGTATACGAGCATAAAACCAACGAAACCATCTTTCCATCATGTTTCTGTGTCTTTTCTAGCCATGCATGAACACACACAAACTGAGAGTTTTCCTTCCTCTCTGTGGATGGCCTTTCCTGGTCCACTGCATGCACAGGAAATTGGAAGTGTCATTGTTTATGTCTGTGGAGAAAACGCAACCACAGTCTTTTTGGCTGTTGTCAGCTGGCCCATATCTCACTCCACTGCTACCAGGAAATCAGAACAGAGGCGCTCACTGTTTCTCCTCTGCAGGGCCCTGCTTTAGGACCACGAGCAGGTCACGGCGTTGGCTTGGTGCTGCCGGAGCTCATATGGACCGAGTTGATCCCGAAGGACTGAACTGCTTTGTAAAAACATAAATAAATTTCTGCCAAATCTCGAACAAACAGGCTTCAGTTATCTCCTCTGACTTACGGTTCCGCAAGTCACTCAACCGTGACTTTCCTCTGGATTAATGGAGAGGGCTGACTTAGAAAAACAAGGCCTGATTCATGTCAAAGGTTTAGCCGAAGCAAAGTGTCAAAACACATTGACCCTGCATAGGCACGGCTTCTGTCAAACAAAGCTTTCTAAAAGCTGGAAATGCATTTCTTGAGAGGTAAGCGCACCGCTGAAGAAAATAAAAACAGACAAGGGAACATCTGAATGCCCTTTTCCATTTGAAGGGAAAAAATACATGGGTGCACTAGAACTTCACTTAACGGCAAAGTGTTGTTTGCACAGCGTTCAACATTCACTACTTGCTCACACTGACCTCAAAGTGGCTCCTTTTGTGATTTCCTTCCAAGTTTCGCCCCACGAAGGTGAAATTACAGATTGGTTTGTATGTTTATGGTTTCATGTCGGTGGTGGCTTTTGGCTTAACTGAGCTTTAGTTGCAGATTCATTCATTTGTAAAGGTTGACATTTTGGAAAACAGGCCTCTTCGCTTCCTTAGGTTAGATGTGCAGATCTATACTATTCTGGCGTAGACACTAAATATAAGGCAACAGCTGGATAGTTTAGTTTCTCAAGACTGGAATCAGGCAGAAACAACGAGCTAGCTGTGTCCATAAGAAAACCACCATCTGCTACCTTATAACCTCCAATAAAACCAGCACTTCACATTTTTTTGAATGAATTAAACAAACAAGAAGTAATGTGTTAATTAGGTTGGGTCTGTGTGGGAAAAACAGTTTTAAATAAGGGCAAAACAAGAAAAACTGTCTACCATCGTCATGCCTATCAGGTCAATGTTAACATGATTGTACAGTTTTTGTTTAATATAAAGCCAGATGAGCTACACATTTCCTCCTATGTTAAGCTAAGCAGCTGCTAACTGTGGCCTTCATCTTAATTTATCATTAAATATATCAGTGCTATCTCATCTATTAAATTAATATGGGAAGAAAAAAAACAAACCAAAGTAAGTGCATTTACAACAATATCAAACTATTCCATTAATTACGATAAAGGTCTACGTGATCTTGAACTTCGATTAGACCAGTCCGGAGGCTGCTGAGCTTTTTGGGTTAATAAACTAAAAAGCTTTGGCTGGTGCTCCAGGCACAAGGAATGTGCAACAAATGATTTCCTCCCTCCATCTCCGCTCCTAAAAAGCTTTTGAAGTCCTTTTGAAAAACAAGGCATGAAGAAGTGCTGAAATCAAGGACAGCGTCTGAATAACTTAATAAGTATTTGTGCTGTGTGCATGACCACCATCCTTTCTTCAATGGGGACTCTCCTCCTCCTCCTCCTCCTCCTCCACCTCCTCCCTCTCAAGGACAGGTTCTCTTAACCTTGGAGTTGAAAGCTTTGAAACCTCACAGAGGCCCTCTGTTAAAAAAATAAAAATCTAGTTCTGAGAGAAGGAGAATTATGGTCTTATCTGCTCGGTTCTAAGATACAGTTCAAGATGTCCGATACACAACTTGTCATCGCTCTATATACTTTTAAGTAAAATGTACTGGAGATGCACTTTCCTCTGCTGTTTATCTCTCCTGGCTGCAGAACTAAGCAGCACGCTCTCCGCAGACGCTGTGATGAATGGAAATCTGCCCGACTTATGACAAACTGGTGAGCGTTTCAGAGTGTTTACCCAAATTGTTACAGCTGTTAGTTGCTCAGTAAATGGAAAATGATACACATGACCATATGGGCTTTCCCGTATTGCAGCGTTGGTAAAGCGCTCCTTATTATAGCCGAGCTCCATGTGTGAATGGAATCTTTCATAGTGCAGGAAGAGGAGGAGGAGGAGGCCTGGCGACTCACAGAATTAGCTCTGTTTTTCTTTGCTCAATTTGGTGATGGATTATTTTAAGAGAAAGGGGTACATTCAATAAGAGGCATTCTTGTGATTCAGACTAAATATAGCCATTTTCACAAAACCTTGTGAGCGGGTTAACGAGGAGTCGATCTGTCGTGTAGGCAGCCGAGGAGGGAAATAGGCAAGGAAATGTCAGAGAGCAAATGAAAGAGAAAGAGGAAAAAAAAATTAAAGACTACAAAGGCTTCCAGGCTTGAG